ATGTAGACCAGGCTGGCCTTGATCTCACAGAGAGCCTCCTGCCTCTGCCTTTTGAGTGCTGGGACTAAGGATGTGTGCCAACATGGCTTTACTGGTGCCTTTAACATCTGACCACAGTCTTCTCCTTTGCCAGCTTCACTCCAGAGCCCGACATGAATGGATACTCGAACTTTTCCCCCAGTCCCGGTAGCCCCACCAAGGAGTCAGTGGAGCCTCAGCCCAGCCAGGCTGTGCTCCAGGAAGATGTGGACATGAGCAGTGGCTCCAGTGGACATGAAAACTGCTCCATGGGGCGGGACTCGCAGGGTAGCGACTGTGACGACAACGGGAAAGAGCTACGGATGCTGGTGGAACCTTCTGACACCCACTCGAGGTAGGTTCGGCCTCCGGCCAGGCTCCATCTGCACAGAAGGCCTCCACCAAGTTCCTGTCTCCTGGTGACTAGATGGCTTTTCCATCTTCAAGTTGCAATTACCAAGGCTTTCACGATTTCAGACCATCTTAACCTAGTAACTAATATTCACTAGGGTTCGACCTTCTACGTGATGGTACAGTGGTCATCTTTGTATTTTGTGTACCTGATGCCAGTCAGATCCTTGTGGCTGCTCGCTCCCATGGACAGGTCACAGACAATGCTCCTTCTGGTCCACCCCTCAGGTCTTTCCTAAGATCCGGAGACTCTGCGCTCTGGTCTTACTTTTTTGAGGGGAGGGACTGCATGTAACACCCAAGAACCTCAGACACGCTGGGCAAGTGCCTCAGGTTTAGTTTTTTCTTAAGTCTGTGCTGTGGTGTCCCTAGCCTGTGTTCCTGGCTGGGTACGAGAAATGTATGAAGTACTGATCTGAGACCTGGCCTCTCCTCTTGTAGCCCTGATGCCTTCAGGTTGATGATGACGGAGCCCCAGCACAACCCGTCCACGAGCGGCTGCAGGTGAGACCCACCATGACACCTACCTCACACCCTTTAGGGAGTCACAGGACTTGCTCTCAGAGGTCAGGTTTGGAGGTGATATGACCCCCTCCAAACTCTGCTCAAACCATTGGTCTACATGGCTGGGGCTGGTATGATAGGTAGCATCTGACTTTTCACACACTTACTGGCCTTGTGCTTCTCCAAGCCCTGTTATTCTTGGTCACCTGGATTCCCTCCCAGCTCTAGGCAGCCTGTGTCCTGCATGCTTGCCAGGAGCTCCCTCACCCTGTTTGGTTTATAACAAATTATCCATGTGTCCGTAGACACATTCCTATCACTTTCTGAGCAGAGCCCATTCTTAATCCCTGG